AACCAAATATGTTTTGTTAAATACGGGTCCGGTTGAGGTTTACAACATCATAAAAAAAGATGATTATTATTTTCTATTTGAGAAAGAGAAAATCAATTAATCAGAAGTAGTCATTATTTAATTTACAAAAAAATTGAATTCATATATTATCCTGAAAGTAAGTTCTTAATCTCCCCCAATAATGAATACTCATTAAAAATCTTTTCAATTGAAGACTATGAAAAATCGAAATCACTTTGTTCACGGTATTCGAAAAGATCGTATTGTATTTCATTTGGTATTTGGTTCAAGGATGAATTTTACGATTGTAAAGTTGAAGGATGTGAAACAAGAAATCTAAAATATCATTGTCACGAGATTTGCAAAGATTGTTATGAAATCTATTTTATGAATTTCGATGATGAGTTTGCGGATTCAATCGAAAAACAAAATAAATATCTTTTTGGTTAATTGTATTTTCTACTTAGTTGTTTAACCGAGTAGAAATTTATCTATATAATCATGTTTTTACGTTCTGATCTAATCGAATCTGAGGAATCTAATATATTTTTTATCTACGATGCGATCGATTCTTCCAATTTAAAGAAAAGATATTTGTTAACTTTACACACTGTTCGAGCTGACGGAACCAAATTTAGGATTAATATATATGAAGATGATATAGTGTTTTTCGATATTAAAATCAAATCTGAAGACTTGATACCGGAATATAAAGATGAATTTTTACTAGATTATTATGAGTTGATAGTAGCATGACCTTTTGATTCAACAGAAGAATATCGATTCCTTCATTTATTTTATCTGTCTCTTAAGGATCGTAAGAAAGCCTTAGACAAATTTTTGAAAAAGAAAATGATATAAAGAAAAAATATGAAGAAAAAGAAAAAGAATTAAAAAGATCTTTTTCGGATGAAAGAAATCGTGAATTACAAGAGTTTTTTGAACGGTATAATACATATTCAGATGCTAATTCATGCTATTACCAAAAAGTGGCGTATGAGAAAAATTTTAGACTCGTAGGATGGTACAGAATAGATTCATCATTTTTTTATGATGATATGACAATATCGTTTGATCAGATTGAAAAAATAGAATA